AGATCTGCTGGAACTATGCTTCCAGCAGGTGTAGCAAGAAACCCGCTGCACCTTCGGTGCGCCAAGACATGCCAGTCGAAATTGACATTCATGAACAAGTATAGCGCCACACTGCCATACTCGTCGGAATGTCGCGGCATGTCCTGCTGTGTTGCCAAAGCAGTCTTCAATCTGCCTTGCCCTTGCTTGAAGCCAAGGCTGGCGCGCAAGCAGTGTGAGATGCAGTTGTGTTTCATGATCACTGAACGGCAACAACATTTGAGAGCTGTTTTTTCCACTAGCAGCCTGAGTAAGTAAGTTTGAACAACCAAGGCAAGGAGCTCCAACAAATAGATCATTCGACAGCAACTGTTCAACTGCGGGTGCAGAGCTGGTTCTAGATGCAGTTTTGTCAACAATGTGGTGCGCATGGAGTTGCGGAAGCTTTATGTTGAAGAGGCGAAGGGCAATTCCTGCTGTCGCCAACGACAACACAACCGAAAAAACAAAGTCGTGCAGTGTTACCAGATGCCTGCATACCCTACTCGAAGAGCTGCACAGCCAACCCAGGGCGGGCCCTTGCTCATGGATTGACAAAGCATTGCGCTGCGTTTTTTTTCTGGCTGCAAAATGTGCGAAGAGACTGTTGCGGCAGCAATTCAAGTGAAACACTGGCAAGACTGCGTGGCCGCAGTTTGCGTCTAGCGATGCTCGAAGACTGTCTCCTTGTGCTTGATTGTCTCCTTGGACTCATTCTTCTGATTCAGCAGCTTAATAATCATCATCTCTATCTTGTTGACACGGCCTTGCACCCCTGTCAGCTCGTCCAAGATATCCTTAAGCACTTCCTCGGGCGGGAGCGGCGGCGGACTCAGCCACGGCGGCGGCGGGGAGGTGCTGGTCCACGCCGAGGATGCCTGCGATGATGGCGGCAAGCGATCATACACGGCGCCCACCCAGTTAGTACACATCGGCGGTTCGCAATTTTCGGACCGAACTTTGAAGGCCTCATCCCTGGTGTAGCGCCAGCTGTGCTGCAGGCCAGCCTCAGCCTTTCCCTCCAGCAGGCACACGCAGCAAATCACCTCAAAGTTCCAACCGCAAACCATCACACCGCTGTCTTTGAAGGCCTTCTTCTTGAACAACGGGGTCTTGCATTTCCATCCGCAGACATCGCACACGGCCTGCCAGTCAGAATTCCACGGCATTGTCTGACTGACAGCTGCGTTTCCGCAGATGTTCCACAGATGTTCCTTAACAGCTGCGGCGGGCAATTCAACCATCACGACATGAACACAGCATCCCTGACACATGTTTCAAACTGTTCACAGGCGCGCCCGAGCAAACACAGGCACGAATCGAAGACTGCAGCTCTACCACCATTAGCCTTGCGTAAGAGGGTCTTTTTCTTGTTCCGACCTTGCGCCCGAAACGTGTAAAGTCAAGACTAAGCTACTGTTGGAATTTGCAGAGGTGTTGGCCATTAACAAGAACCAACTGCGGGCACACAGTTGGTTTTCGCGGCAGCAGCGCTGCGTGGAACTCCGGCAGTATAAACATGGGACATCTATCGCCGGCGCAATTCAGACTCTAACTTCTCCAGCTCCTGCGTGCTTTGCCACAATTTGTGATCGATGACCGTCGTAATTGCCGTCTGCCACATGCGGAGCGACATCCTGCGCATAGACTCAACCTGAAAAGTCTCTGCCCCTCTCAGAATCAATAAACAGCTGCTGCCTGCCATTGCGCGTGTTTTGGAACTCCTCGATGAGGTCCAGCGCCGAATCCAGATTGTGGTACTCCTGCCTCATCAGGATCTCAACAGCTACCACCATCTGCAACTCTTCCTTTAGGTGTTCCATTTGCGTTTTCAATGCCTCGATCTTCCGTCGTCGAGCCCCAGCCTCGGTCATGGCGCGCAACGCAGGTGACTGTTCCATCATGGCTCCCCTAAAAAAAGGCCAGTTTGGACCAGAGCGCTGCAAAGTAAATTGCACAAAAAGCATCTCAAATTGACAAATATTGCCCCAGGTGCTATTTTTCTTGCCTGCAAACAAGCATGCGGCAGCAAACACATCGTTTCTCAGGCTGCAGCAGCCCCTCAAGCTCAGCCCAAACACTCACTGTGTTGCCGCAGTGTGTTCGTATATGAACTCTCGAAGCACCGGCTGCAAGTCCTGTATCAGGACATGGACTGGCCAGAGTGTGGCCAGAAACACACACTCTGCGTCGTGGCCAGCGGCAAGACCGCCCCACACATCCAGGGCCTCGCTCACCTGCAACATTTGGTCATGGAGAGTGCGCAGCTCGTCAAGCTTAACCTTGTTCAGCTTCCCCTTCATCGGCCGCAGCATCTCGTACTCATCAAACATCCACAAGCCGTCCTTGTAGCGCACATCAGTCACCGGTGTCTTGTGACAAAAAAAGTGTTCAAGCACAGTGCATGTGGCGCAGCACTTGCTGATGATCTTGGAGTTCATCCGGTTGTCTTTGTACAGAGGGCCCAGAGTCTCGCAGACCTTGATGAGCATCGAGAAAGGGATCTTGTCTGGTTGCCCGCAAGTGATTCGTTGGATGTCTTCCGCCAACTTGTATAGGCAATCCCCCCGCACAATGCCAGCTGAGCCCTCCTCCAAGTACCTGGATGCCATGGCTTCGCCAGCTTTGGTTGCAAAGCTGGACATTTCAACGAGTTGAAGCCGAACCGAAGCTGAGCCAGTTGAACCGAATGGGCGGGCGGCGGGCGAAAACTCACTGAGCCGCACGCAACGCTGGCAGCAAAACAGACACGCTTTTCCTTGTGCTTTGTAAAACTCAGGAGTTGCCAAACTTCTCAGGCAAAGCAAAAACCTAAGCTGAGCCGGGCTCTCAGGGGAAAGGCTGTGTTTCCGCAGCCTTTTCTAGATGCAAGTTCAGTCAGAGTTCAAGGGTAAACAAGCTCACGCAAAGTCAAACAAGCATCGTCCAACAGCATCCCCAATGGTGTAAGAGGTCCGTCAATGTCGGCCAGTTCGTTCAAGAAGTGCAGAACCTGGGTCGACTCTTCCACAAAGGCCCGCTCTTCAGCAGTGACGCGTGGAAGTTGCGTTGGTCCTGGAGAGCCTGGAGAGCACAAATCCCGCACAAGAGGCTCCCTGGCCATATCATCAGAAGGCAATGGCGAAATCAGCGCGCGCTCCATACCAGCAAGAACGACTGCGAAAGGAAACATCGCGGCTCTTCGCCCAGTTCTTTCCATGATCAACCGCAGGACCCGGCTGCATTTCCTGACAATAATCTCGTCAATCTTCATTTCAATGACATGCAGCGCCACGCAATGCGCGAGCTCGTCAGCGTCACCCCCGTAAATGTCCATGGCAGCACGTGCGCCAAGTTTCACTACCAGCTGACATAGCAAAAACAACTCTCTGAGCCACCGGATTGTCCAAACATCAAGGCCCCCCTCCCTCCCCAAGATTTTCGGCAAAAAAACACTTCCGAAAAACGGATTGTTTTGACAAAGAACGCGCACGCGAAAAAACAAGGTTTTCGGTCCAAAAAAAAGCACACAAAAAAAAAGGCATAAAAAGCATGTCCTTAATGACCGGCCAGATGAGATTTCCACCAGAATTCCACCAGGTTTTGCAAGGTAAGGTTCCATTCCAGCACGGTTCTAGCAGGGTCCCACGAGGTTCTGCGAGGGCTGCAGGGTGGTCCGGGGTGGTTTGAGGTAAGGTTTTATGAGGGTTTCAGGGTTCCACAAGATTCTGCAAGGGCTGCGGGCCTTGAGGTTTGACAGGGTTCCACAAAGATTCCACACGGGTTCCACAAGGCCCCACAATGCTCCACCAAGGGTGTGTCGTGCGCCCGGTCTGAAAAGCCATCGGATCAAGATCGCTTTGCTCATGGGCGGAACACTAAGCAAAACCGAAATCAATGGTTTTTAGCACACTTTCACTGTTTTGTGACTTGCTCACTTGCTCGGGCAAATGTTGGCTTTGTGGCAAATCAGATCACGTCGCTGCGGAACTCGCGGCGCAGCAGAGTAAATGCTTGGCATTGCTGCTTGGTGGGCTTTGGGTTCCAAGAATTCCACGAGGCTGCGAGGGCTATGAGGTCAGAAGGTTTCCACCAAATTCTGCAGAAGCTAGGGGGCAGCCCTGAGGAAAGGTTCCAGCAAAGTTTCACGCTGAGCTCCACGAAAGTTGCTGAGGTCCATTGAACCTAGGTCGGGGCCCCATTGCACTGTCGGATTGCACCGTTTGGGCCCGATCGGCCCCGATTGCGCCATGGGGCCCAACTCCCTGCTGGCATCGCCTAGTTTTGCTATAGATACAGTTGCAATCCGCATACTAAGGAAAACCGGCGTTGAGCTATAATACGCACCGTCGGGCCCCGATCGGGCCTGATTGCACCGTCGGGCCCCGATCGGGCCCCGATTGCGCCGTCGGGCCCCGATCGGGGCCCGATTGCGCCGTCCGATCGGGTCCCGATTGCGCCGTCGGGCCCCGATCGGGGCCCGACTCAGTCGGGCCCCGTCAATTGTACCAAGCTGGCATCGCCTAGTTTTGCTATAGATACAGTTGCAATCCGCATGCTAAGGAAAACCGGCGTTGAGCTATAATATGGGTGGCTGGCGTTGCACCACGGGACGATCGGGGCCCGATTGCAACGTCGGGCCCCGACCGGGCCCCGATTGCACCGTCGGGCCCCGATTGCACCGTCGGGCCGTGATCGGGCCCCGAGTGCGCCGGGCCCCGATTGCGCCGTCCGTCGGGCCCCGATCAGGGCGAGATTGCGCTGTCACTCGTAGCTTTGCTTTACAAGGCGGGGATTCTGGGAGGGTGTGGTGCTGTTGAAAATATCGCCCGAGCTTATTTAAAAATAAAAAAATCATAGTCATCCTTTTGATTCTAATCAAAAAGCGATGCTCAGGGTTGATGGTGAACAAGGATGTAAAGTAAGAATGAGCAAAATGAAAGAAACACAGGTGGCTTAATATAAAATCTCACAGGACTATTCAGACGTCTCACAGCAGCTGCCTGGTGCTTTGCGGCTTGCCCCAGTCCTGGACCTTCGGCATGGGGTCCTTCAACCTCACAGTTTCTCTGCGTGTTCTTTTGGGGCCCATATCTCAGAAGCGTTTCTTGATGAAACATTTCTCGAATTTCAGGGCTGCGCAGGTTCAAGAGATCCTCCCGATCGTGACACCTGGCCACCCATCACCTACATGCCATGGAGAGATGCGCCCGCTCACCCTGTAGTGTCGAGACCACGGCGTCTGCACTCTTCGAGCAATTCCCGGGTCTCGGGTTGGAGATGAGATGAGCTGAGTCATGGCTTTGCGCGCGCGCGCTGTCTGAGAGGGGCGCTGTGTCCGTGCCTGCCTGCGCCGCTCGAAGTGTCGATGCTCACCGTGATCTAACATGGGCTAGCCTGCTATCTCAGGTATGTGAATGTATGTAGCTTCTAGAAAGGATCGTGCTGTTATATGTGTGTGACAAGAATGACTTGCGTGTGAGGTGTCGCATGTGCTGCTTTACTCGGGCAGGGCAGCGTGCTAAGCTGTAAGGCTGATGTAAACAAAAACCAGAAGTCAGGCAGCGCGTGGCTGCACGTCTGCAATTTGGAAGCTATGAAGCTGTCCGGATTCTGCGGTTTCTGCCTGGGAAGCTAGGAAGCTGAGGAAGCTGTCCGGATAGGACAGGTGTCGGGGAAGGTCCAGGAAGTTAGGTCAAGCTCCGGTCCCAGGAAGGTTCGGGGGCCCCCGGTCCGGCAAGCCGAAAAGTGCCAAAAACGTGCTCCAAACAGTACTTGCCCTTCCTGCTGTGGGGGCGCGGTCTTTTGAACACGCTGGCTAAAAACAACGAACGGCTCTGACAATTCAAAGGGCGCGGCGCCGGCCAAAAACAATGAACGCGCTCCAGAAAATTCCAAAAAACGCGCTGTCTGTAACCACAAGTGAAACGCGCCCTGGATTGTTTGAAGGGACGTGCAACTTACCAAACCTAAGCCGCAGACTCCATTTGAGAAAGCGGCTATGGAAACTTGGCCAAAGAAAGGGCTCGACTCTAGCAGTCTTTGGCCTGGTTTCAATAGCCAGCTTTTTAGAAAACCAGGTGGGGGTACTCCCCGAAACTTTTCCCGCAGCTTCTTGGAGCTTTTCCAAGACCTATGTGGACAGCTTCTGAAGCTTCCCCGGGACCTATCCGAACAGCTTCGGGATGGGATAAGGCGGACTGGCGCTTCTGCACGCAGCGTGTGTGATGCAATGATTCCAGCAGCACGGGCCGCTTGTAGAGAGTCGGTGCAAAGGATCGACATGGCTATGACCTTGTGGCACAGGTCGGCGTCGCTGAGGACGCAGAGTATGCCAGAGCGCAGGGGCGTGCGCCAGCACAAGCAGATCTTGCGCCAGCGCTGCCAGCTGAAAAGGAAAGGGCAAACAGGCGTTTCAAGCGCGCACGAAAGCCGGCTATGCTCAATCCTCGGCCAGGAAATGGTTGCCCGTGCTGAGGCTTTGGCCCCATGAGCTCTTTCAGCGGCAAGAGGAAGCTAGGGCTGGTAGGTGTGGAGAGGCTGGGGGCAGTGCAGAACTTGCACGCCGGAAGATATGTGTTTGTTATCTCTCGGCCCTGCGCAACGCTGTCAAAGGCAGAGCAAGATCCATGGAAGGCGCTAGCGCAGGAGCATTTCTCCGACTACCACCGGATGCTCAAGCAAACTGCGGAAGACTGCATGTCGCCAACTGGCAGGATCTGGAGCTACCACTATGTCTATGGCATTCTGGGTGGTCCCCGGCCTGGGGAGTTGCACGAACAACGGCAAAGGGAGGCGGCTGTGCAGAAGCTAAATGATCAGCAATTCGTGCGTTCAATTAATTGCATTGTCTCTTGGCAGGCGATCGTGTGAAAGCAGCAGCCAACGCTCAAGGCGCGACACGTGGCGCGCAACATGTTGTTTGAACCGGTTTTCCACGTTGCCACCTTGGGGCACGATTTGGCATTTGACTGTTTGAGCAGCAGCTCGGCCCAAGCTGATGGACATCCCGGCGAAGAGGCGGCGTCATGTGGAGCCGACAGAGGGATACCCGCTGGGGCGTCCTCAGCAGCTGGCCAGCAGGACGCTGCCTTTGTGGCGCGGAGCCTTGCTGCCTACGGCGCGCGGAGAAGATACTTGCATCAGCAATCCGGTGCTTCAGACATGGGGGCGCAGCCAAACTCGTCAAGAGCTCCCTCACAAGGGTTGCAGGAACGGGAACACAGTAACTGCCTCGCTCGCTACAAGGTCTCCCTCAAGCCTGGCACGCACGGAATGGTCTTTTTCAAGGAGCACAGTCCTGGCATGCCTCCTGCAGGAGCCTTCTTGCTGCCAGTCTTTCGCGCTCACGTTCAGTCAGTGTAGGCCTTTGCTAACTGAGCCTGCAGATTTGTTTCCTTGCCAAAAGGTTGTTGTTGCAAGATTCGTTTAGGCTGCTCGATCCACAGAGCGGAACTGCGATGCTTGTGCAGGAATCCGGCAGCGTCTAGACGGTGTAAAGGCTGCAGCCAAAGATCCCCAATGAAGCCGGCCATGCCAAGAGACCATTGGAGGTTTCCTTGTGGGCTGTCCAGAACGCAGTGAAGCGCGGCAAGGCAAAAAACAGTCGGTGGAACAAATGCGCATTCTTGGCAGGAGGTCCTCAGCGAAGATTTTTGCATCACCGACTCCACCAACATGAAGGTCGTTTGGTCTGAAGTGACGCCAGATTACATGGCGGCTGTGTACATCCCGGCAGCCCTCAAGCTCATCTTGGACACGTACAGGGCAGGCTCTTCGGGAGGCTTGTCTATCCCTGCCTTCAAGACCCAGGCTGACTGCACCGGCGACTGCATGTAGAATGGCCACGGAGTCGGTGTTCTGGGAGTCGCTCTACATCACAGGAACAAGGACGAGCGCAGTACGGAAGCGCAGCGGCGTTGGCGCCGAACTCTGGCGCCATTGATCGTGATGATCAAATGGGAAGATAGCCAGCACTATCAGCTCTGCTTCCAACATGGAGAGCGTTTGCTCCGCCATGCGTTAGCGAACGAGGGCCAATCGGTGCCTAAGCTGTTGATTGCTCAAATCAACGCGGATTGGACTGCGACGCTCCGCCGCTCACATAAAGCGTGGACGGACCGAGCGGCGCTGGATGTGGAGCGGCGCCTAGACGACCGAAAGGATTTGCGAATCCCCATGCCATTCTTCAAGAAGATCGTGCGCATTTCCGCTTTCCTCCCATCACCGCAGATCATGAGCGCGCTCTGGAGCATCGTTCTACAGCGGCTGGACACAAAAAGTATTTTGGGTGGCAGTACCTGAGATGTGGGTTTGTGCGGGAAGAAGACTACATCCTGCCTTTATTCTGGTCCGGGTTGCTCCTGGGCAGGCTAGCCACGGATCCAGCTTGCCAGCTTTCCAGTTTGCAGTGCGCGCAGACAGCTCTACAGTGCTCAACATGAGCCCCGGGCGGCTGGCGTTCGACGTTGGAGACATGTGACCCATGCGCAATCTCATTCTAAAGAGCAACGCGCGCTTCTGACAAAGCACATGCGTGCTTGGCGTGGTGTTGCTGGTCAGCATCACGGAAGAGAGCAGACATTATGGGCCTGCCAGTTTTCAAGAGCTCGCTGTCCGAGGTAAACTGTTGCTTGGCCAAAGTCCTGACAGCATTGGCTGCAACATCTCTCCTTCAAGGCAATGTCGGCCAGAGTCTTGTGAATTGCAGAATGACAGAAATTGTATATACAAAAAACAGAGCAATGCAGCCACATGGGAGTATGACATGTCTGTGAGACAACACAAATTCGTTCATGGAGCAGCTTGGCCAGTCAGAGCGCCTGCCATGGATTGTTTTCAGGGAGGATTTGCGAGCGGAAGGCGCTGGGAGCCGGACTTGAACGACCCACGTCAAGTTGCTCTGCAAAAGGCGAAGGACCTGAAGAACACCATCGGCGCAACAAAGCTTGAGAAGCTCATGGAGAACACGGAGGAGACGGAGAAGGTTCAGGCGGAGAAGACGGAGAAGACAAACACCACGGAGACGGAGCTGGAGAAGAAGACGGCGCCCAAAAGGAACTGGAGCGCAGCCGCTGCTGAGCACCATCGGCGCACAGCAATGCGTCACAGCGCCGGCCCAAAGTGGCGGGCCCGAGGGCCGCGGGGCAAAAACCCCACATCGCCCGCCAGCTTTGAGGATGAGAAGTAATTGAGAAAAATGTTGTGCCTGGCGCAGGATCTGGCCTGCCAATTCTTCTCTCCTGAGGCTATGTGCAACCTATTCCAGGGCTGCCGCCCATGCCAGCTTCGCCGGCGGGCCCCCTTGAGAGCCGTGAGTTCTGCGTAGGCCAGGCTGCGCAAGCAAGGATGAATTAGCCAGGCTGTGCAAGCAAGGCTGCGTAAGCTAGGCTGCGTAAGGCAGGATGTGTAAGCAACATGCAAAGCTGTGCAGTGCTGAGCAATGCTGTGTTGCTGCGCAAGCAGAGCTAACTCGTTTTTCCTCAGCAGCTGAAAGCTAAGGGGTCTCAGCCCAGATAAGGTTTGGGGGAGCTGTGGAATCAGGGAAGTTCAGGAAACTGGCTATTGAAACTAGCCCAAAGACTGCTCTTTGGCCCTTATCATAGCGCGTTCAAAAAGAACAAAAAAAGAGAGCGCGCTCCCCGCCGCAGAGCATAGCGCGCTGCCTGTTTTTTCAAATCAGCATGCGCGTTAGTGTTGTCGGCGCGCTTGGCATAAGCGCATTCCATACACCGTGTGTGCTTCTTGCTGTTCGGGATGCAGCAAGCGAACGCGAGCGATGTAGCCCTTTGCCAAGACAGCTACTGTTGATCAATGTCCCTCGTTGTCGAACTCTGGCTGTAACACCATGTAGCCCGCTGAAAGGACGCGGGTTTGTAAAGCGTCCTGTCACTTTGTACGTCTGCGCTGGTTCTTTCGCAGGTTCTGCAAGCAACAATGTTGCTGACTGCCCCAATTACAAAATCGTATCCCCGACCCTGAGGTAGATGGTCGACGCGCGCGTTGTAGTATCATGTTTGCAATATAGCAACCAAGCGATTTATCACACGCATCACGCCGATGCATTCCAGCGTAGGGCTTCACGTGCGAGGCTGCTCCTTCATGTAGACGTGGCCCGACAACTCATCCATGTTGTCTCTGCGCGACGCAGCCATCAGATCACAATTGCCTTGTGGGCGTGCAGCCTTTGTGTCACAACTGTGTTCCGAAGTGTACGGGGGAAAAACTGTAGACAACGGCGAAAATCTGCAGACTGTCAAAGCGCTGTTTGACACGCGTTCGTCTGCCACGCAGGAAAGAAGATGTAGACTGTGTCGTTGCAGGGGCTGCGCGAAAGACAGCCCAAAAT